CAATTCGATTTTTTTTCATAATTTTATTGCCAAAAAAATGACAGCCGTTGGATTGGAGGAGGAGAAGCAGATCGGAGCGCCTAGGGCTTGACACCTGTCTTCTACCCGTTGGAGCTTGCGCACGGCTGACGTCAGCGCACGCGAGTTTAAATTTTTTTTACCGTTAAAAAATATTAAATCCCGCGCGCTGAAGTCACCAGCCCTCGGGCTGAACTGGCCTGAGGGCTAGCCCGACTTCGTGGGTCTCACTCCCAACTTGGGCTTGGGCTCCTCGCTGGAACGTCGTTTTTTTTTTCTTCTCCCCCTAGCCTTGGGCTCAGCCCTCCGCTGGAGTTGCTCTAAACACACACTCAAACAAACAACATTGGAAAAGGTGATGCCATTTAAAAGCAACACATTAGAAAACATGAAGGAAAATAATTAATATGCTGATCTAGCAAGCTTCCCTAAATGTTTAAAGCCATGGGATCAAGAACAGAGGGTGAGATACTGCGGATTTCAAATTGGCCTCAAGAAGAAGAAATTTTGAAAGCTGGTTTTTGAATCAGGAAAATAATTTTGCAATATACAAGATTTTAACCTCAGCCCTGTCTCAAATTCGGAAAGCAATATTACCCATTTTTTCTATCCACCGTCAGTTTCTTTACATATATCAAAGCATTATGGTGCAATGTTAAACAGATTTCATCTGTAATATGAATACTCCTCCTCCCCCTCCAAAACTCACTTCTCTTTGACCTACTCATGAGCTTAACAATGTATGCTTTGCGATACTATTTATTTATGCTAAGTTTGTGATTGATATGTTATGTATTTCTAATTTATATATGGCGAACTACATAATTGCTTCTAGCTATAATTTAGTATTGTCTTGGCTACTGAGCAATTACCTTCATTAATCTCTGCTTACAATTCCGCCCTTGGAGGTTCAGCTATTACTTTTGACATCTCAAAAACAAGATGTGAAATGAATATTTTATTATTTTTTAAAGACAGCTGGCTATTACTTTCATTTTTTATTTTCCTTTTTTATTTTTTTTCTTCTTTATCTTAAATGATTTGACTGTTACAATAATTATTTATTTGACATATTGGGTGGAGTGTAAAACCGTGTAAATGTCAAATTAACTTTGATGGCTGATGTGGTAATTTGACATCTTACACAACTTTACACTCCACCCGATATGTCAAATTAAATTATTACTTTATTACATTTTAGTGTTGATTCATTTTTAATTAATAAGAAAAGAAAAGAAAAAATAATAAAATATTCATTTGACATCTTGCTTTTGGGATGTCAAAAATAACATCTCAACCTCCAGCTTTCATTCCACATAAGCTTTGACATACCGGTTGGAGTGATGTGAGATGTTATTTTTAGCTGTTAAATGTCTATGTGACACATTTAACACATCGGTTGAAGATGCTCTTAGGCAGTCAATGTTAGCCTTGGAAGTTCGCATAATTGCTTTTGAATGTTGGGGCTCATTTTATTGCCATCAATATATTTAGAAATATTGCTAAATATAGTTGTTAAGTTGTGCCCACTAAGAGGGTTGAACATTATTGTTATCAATATTTTATTATAGTTGTTAGTTGGAAGTTCGCATTATTGCTATCAACATTATTGCAAACAACTTTGAACTTGGACTTTGAGTGATTAACATGGAAGATGCGCTGGTATCAGTTATCAACAAGGATTCTGTTTATCACATATATCACGGTCAAGTCCTCTCCTGGTGGCCCAAAGGTATCAATAATTTGCATTCTGTGGTTGTTGTTTGCCGACATCTGAATTTGCATTGATGTTTGCATCCAAATCTGAAAACGCATTAACTACATCCGTGAGATTTTTTATTACTTTGTGAAGGCCAAGTCCTGTTCTGGTGGCCCAAAGGTTTCAATATCAATAATTTGCATTCAGTGGTTGTTGTTTCCTGACTTCTAAATTTGCATTGTGTGGTGGTGGTTTACATCGTTTTCAAGCCCATTGTGTGGTGGTGGTTTGCATCGTTTTCAAGTATATATATATATATATATATATATATATATATAAATACATGTGAGCAACGGCACATACACAAAGCAACATGCTAGGGCAAGCTTATAACCTAATGGCTCATGGCTTCCTTCTTTTCCTCTTACTCTCTTGCATTATATCTACAAATATTTATGCCTGCAAGCAAACTGAACGCAGCTCCCTCCTGTCTTTTGCCTCCACTCTATCTTCTCCTCCTTTAAATTGGACATCTCTTGATTGCTGTCGTTGGAAAGGCATCACTTGTGATCAAGATGGTTGGGTCACCCACTTGCTCTTACCTTCCAAAGGGCTCAAAGGAGATATCTCTCCCTTTTCACTTGCAAATCTCACCCATCTCACCCACTTGAACCTTTCGCACAATTCACTATATGGTTCACTTGAAACTCAATTCTTCTTGTCTTTGAATCAACTTGAGATCCTTGATTTGAGCTATAACCGTCTTTTTGGAGAACTACCACTGTATCTTCCATCTATTTATATACGGACAGTTGATTTGTCCAGCAATCACTTCGTTGGTGCAATTCCATCTTCATTATTCCAACAAGCAAGCAACTTGACTAGTTTCAATGTCAGCAACAATAGCTTCACAGGGTATGTCCCATCCTCTATTTGTCTCCAACATTCTTCTCCCTTCCTCAGGCTATTGGATTTTTCTTCCAATGCATTAAGTGGCAACCTTGCTCCTGGGCTAGGGAAGTGTTCCAAACTGCAGGTTTTTCGTGCTGGTCACAATAACCTCTCAGGATTATTTCCAGAAGATATTTATAATGCTACCGAACTTGAAGAAATTGCATTACCTCTCAATTCACTACATGGAGCCATTAGTGATAAAATTGTCAACCTCACTAACCTCGCAACCCTTGATCTCTACTATAATCATTTTGGCAGTGAGCTTCCTCTCAATTTGGGGAAGCTATCTAAGTTGAAGTTTGTGACCCTTGATTTCAACAATTTAGAAGGTGCTTTGCCCCCATCTTTGATGGATTGCACAAACCTTGTAGAATTGCGTTTGGGATCCAACAACTTGGAAGGAGATATCTCCATGCTTGATTTTTCCAGACTTAGTCAACTTACTAAACTTGACCTTAGGGCAAATAACTTCACTGGTACAATTCCAAGAAGTCTTTACTTGTGTAGGTCCCTAAAAGCCATTGGATTGTCTGGAAATCATCTAAAGGGACAAATAGAAGCTGAGATTCTTTCATTGAAATCCTTGTCCTTCCTCTCTCTTGCTTTCAACCAATTCACTAACCTCACGGGGGCAATGAAGATATTGATGAGTTGTAGAAGTCTTCACGCACTTTTGCTTAGTGGTTCCTTTGTGGGTGAGGGAATGCCATCTGATGATGACATGGTTGATTTTCATGGATTCCAAAATCTTCGGCTCTTGGCTTTGGCTGGTTCTAACCTCACTGGTCAAATACCTTTATGGTTATCAAAGCTCAAGAATCTAGAGATTTTGGGTCTGGGTTCTAATCAGATCACAGGGCCAATTCCGAGTTGGTTGGGGACTCTTCCCAGACTGTTTTATATAAGCTTGTCACACAACCGAATTTCAGGTGAACTTCCACAGCAACTTTGTCGACTACCAAGGTTGCTTTATGAACCAATTGCATCTCAAGTAGACAAATATGAATTTGAATTTCCTGTCTTCAGCACCAGCATCAGCATAGGGGCAAATCAAACTTATCCACAACAGATACTGTATTTTTTACCAGGATGGATAGAAGTATCTAACAATAACATTAGTGGTTATATACCTGCTGAGATAGGCCAATTGCTGCTTCTCCGAAAGTTGGCTCTTGACTCCAACAACTTCTCCGGCACCATTCCAGACCAAATATCGAACCTAAAAAATTTAGAGGTTTTGGACCTCTCCATGAATCACTTGTCTGGAATAATCCCATCATCATTGGCAAGTCTTAATTTCTTAAAAGAATTTAATGCCTCATACAATAATCTTCAAGGACCAATACCAACAGGCACCCAACTCCAAAGCTTCAACGCTTCTGCCTTTGAGGGGAATCCAAAACTTTGTGGTGCCCCACTTCCAAATAAGTGCAGACCAAGTAAGGGCATTGATGTATATAACAAGAACAATAAAGACGTGGACAATGGACTTCATCAAGTTCCGTGGTTTTATATTTTCGTTGCTTTGGGGTTCATAGTAGGATTTTGGGGAGTTTGTGGTTCTTTAGTTATTAACAAGACATGGAGATATGTCTATTTTCAATTCATAGACAATCTACAAGATAGGCTCTATGTGATGATAAGTTGATAACAATCCACATCAACATGATGAAAAGAAGGCTTGGAGGCTAGACATATATTATTAATATGTTGTACTTTTTATTTTGCATTTTCAGTTTGCTTTTTGTTTTTTGTTTTTGTTTTTATTTTTCTTTTGAAAGTAACTGGACTCAAATTTAAAGGATATATGTTGTTATGTTCATAAAGTTATGGGGGAATTTGTACTTAATTGTAATCAAGGTCTAAAATATCGGGAGTTTCGGAAATATCGGTGGTCCAAAAACACGGATATATCGATGGAAATATCGAGAAAATATCGATATCGATAAAAATTGAATAAAAATCACGGAAATTATGATAAATACATGGAAATTTTTATTGAAACTTTAGAGGATGTTTACTTAGTCAATTGTCTATTATTTTATCACAAAAAATTGGAAGGAAATGCATGGCATGGTGGGTTTGAGTGATTTAAGTTGATTATGTAGAGACCTGACAAACATTGTGACTTTAGAAAATATGTAGTAATTAATTAAAGAAAATTAAACACACCATAATTTTTTAGTTATAATAATGTACTTCAATATATTACACTTGATACATATGATAAAATATATGAGCTTAACCCAAAAAAACAAAGATAAAATGTATGAGTAACTTAGTACCACATATAAAGAATTCCTATTAAAATTCAAACTTAGTATCACATATAATGAACAATATTAAAACTCAAAGTGAATAATAATAAAACTCTATAATATATAACAACAACAAAATACTACTCCATTATTAAATAATAAATAACATTGAATATATGCTTAAATTTATTCTTAGGGAATTTTTTTAATATGGAAATTTATCTTAGATAATATTAGCTTGCAGACAATTTTTAAAGACCTTATAAATATTACAAGTTGATGGTATACACACAAACTCAGCCGCAGCTGAGTTGGAGAAGAAGCTGGCTTTTATGAGAAAGGGAGGGGGTTCGAATCCCTCTACGCGCAAGGTGAGGCTTTCCAACATTTTCTTGTCTTTTTTGGTTTCATATCGCGATATTATCAATATTATCGATAATATCGTGATATATTGACCATTTCATATTGAATTTGAACGAAAATATCGGTGCCGATATTTCGGCGATATTATCGAGGATATTATCGATAAATTGACGAAATATAAATGGAATGTTGCCAAAATATCGGGGCCCAAAAAAAACGATATTATTGCCGAAATATCGGCGATAATATCGAAATTTAAGACAAAGATTGTAATAACCCAATCCTAAATAAATATTTAATTATTAATTTATTTAAATAAAAGACAATTTTACCTAGGGAACATTTTAATGGTTTAAAAGTTAACTTTTTGGTCAGGAAGGAATCTGAGGATTTCAGTTGTACCGTTGCGTAGAGCACATCGAGATGAGTCTGTAGACACGTAGTGGGCTCAAATCGGAGTTATAACAAAGAATTTATGATCTACGGAAACTCAGTGGCGTAACCGTAATTTTTTTTCGAAGTTCAGATTTTTTAAACCCCGAATTCTTCTTCTCTGTCTCGAGCTTCACGAACAACAGTTTTCAAACTCAAATTTCTCCTCCGTCCAGCCACCAATTTCTATGCCACAACTTGCAAACTCTTCATCTTTCTCTCCTCTTCACATCCATACCAATTTCCAAACCCAAATTCAAGAGAGAAAACCAGAAAATCAATCGAAAACAGAGCCAAAAAACTAGCCCAAACCGACTATGCAAAAACAGCGGCTGTTCGTGGTCTTTGGACACCCACGCTCTACTGGCATGTGGGGCAGCATGTGGGCCACTTTTTGACCCATCCTTGAGTCCTAAAATAATCTTCATGTCGTCCCGAGCACGACGGTGTGCTCGGATATGAATTTGGTTATCATCTTATCGTCGATTGGATATCGCATATTAGGCATTACCGGGGTTCGATATGTTCGGACCGTTGGATCGACTTAATTTTCAAATATGTTAATCTAGACATCTCTAGGATAGTGTAGAAATTCGTGGATTGAGAATTAGGGTCCCGGATACTCTGATTCAATAATTTAAAATTTAGTTAAACGATAATCATGCGATCTTGAGCAATCCGACCATTCAATTCAGACCAAACTTGCAGGGCATGTTTAGTAAAGTGTGTTGAACCTATAGGAACTCTCAGATTACTAATCGGAGGTCGTGGACCCCACAGGGTACCAGATTAACCATTATGGGAAATTAATCACTTATTGAATCTCGGATTTTTTCAGACCATTGCACCTGTTAGAAATGTTGAAAATAGGCCTAAGAACTCTCTTAAATTCTGTACATGCACTTTTGAGACTGGGGGTCAGGGTTTTGATTAAATATATATATATATATATATACAGTCCCCGTCTATTGAGGGATCCCTCAAATAATTTTATTTGAGGGATGCCCTTTAGGGTACCCTACAATTTTTTTTCCAATGATCTAAACCATCTATTTTTTAGGTCTTCATTCATAGATCATCCTTACAAAAAATTAGACAAATCGGAAACTGTTTCGACATCCAATTGTGTCCTACAAAATCAATAAACACAATGCTTCAAAAAAGTACTATAATTTCAATGACTCAATTGAATGGTCAAATGATGTCAGATTCAAGTGATTTTTTATAGAGATGATCTTTGAATGAGTATCTACAAAATAGACGGTTTAGATTAGTGAAATACAATCCGGAGTGGTATATATATATATATGGTTGAGCTGTTATTAATTAAATATTTTTAATTGCTTAAATAGGTGCTCGAACTTCACTAAACCCGCATGAAGGACACTCAAAGGGTCAAGCTAGCTTGGACGCTCAGTGAGTGGACTTTTGTTTTATAAATGGATTTTATGCAATTAAAGTTTCATTAATTGATCTTGATGAATTATTTATGACTATTACTTTCCAAGCATAAATGTTTGAATTCAAATATTTTTATTAAATTATGTGTATGTTTAAAATGTAAATGGCTTGGAAAGTAGGAAAAGAAGTGATAACAAGACTAAAGGATTTATTGAGAAATAGGATTATAATTTTTCTAGAAAATGTTTTTGAACCACCATAGGTACTCAAAATGTTGCATTTGGATAATTTGTTGCCTTTGGTTATAATGATGTCCACGGACATCCTAGTTCCCTTTCGTTGAGTCAGCGCGCGTTTGACATTTGCCCCACGAGTCTTAGGGATATCTGGACCGTGAGGAGCGGGGATGTGGCTCAGGTTGACCAAGTGTCCCCTGAGTCTTGCTAGGAATGCGGCTAGAGTTCACCGAAGCCTGCAAGGATGTGTCGCATTATGTGACACACGGAATTGAAGGTATAATGTGGGAAATGAATATAAAGATCATGGAATTAATGGATATATGATGGGTACACCTAGGTGGGAAAGAGATTATTTCTTTACAATGCTTTCAAAAGGTTTTGATGATTCGATTGAATGCATGATCAGTTATATGTATATAAATATGCATGTCTTTATTCTTGTACGAATATAGAACATGATTATAATAGAATTTTTCTGGATGTTTTAATAGTGAGGTTAGTATGTTAATATTCTATTTTCCAAAACTTTATTTTTGTCCACTCACACCTTTAAATGTTTTGCGCCCCCAGGCAGTAGTCGTGTATCAGAGCACCACCACAAGGCGACCATCACTCATCATTCCTTCTCTTTCTCTATGTAGGATGTTCCCTTACAACTATATTATTTTTGTGAATTACTAGATTAGTATTGCTCTGAAATTGCCCTAGGTTTTCTGTAAGGCCTGAAGCCATAAAGTTCTGTTGTTGGATTGCTTGAATTCAAACTTGTTGCATGTATAACGGTTGTGGTTATAAATTGCTTTTCGTATAGGTGTAAATTTTGAGAAAAGAGTATTTACAGAGGAGACTTTACCGAATTTTCGGCAGAAGTCAAACTTGAAGTTAACTTTGGTTTTTGTTAGAAGGACAATTTGGTCAAGTGTGCCCAGCGCCTACCAAGTGTCGGACACGCACAGGGTTCGGCTCAAATTCCAAAGTAGAATTCGGGTCTGCTCCTGTCATTAATTGTTGATTTGCCCCTTGAACTTGTACCTATCTTTCAATTTACCCCTATCCTCTTTTTGGAAAATCATTGATATGAACTTTTATTTTTAGCTAATTTCCTCCCTACTGTCTAAATCCTCAACATTTCATCCAATTTGCCGTTAAATATGAGGGCAAAATTGGTCAATTTGTACATTAAAAATAACTTAATATTTAATAATAAAATAACATGGAATATGAAATAGAAAAAATAAAAGAATATTAATACAAATCAACCCAACACTCCCACAACCTTCTCTGTAACACCCCGACCCCAAATTTATCCCATGTTTTAATTTATTTAAGTGGAATTGAGAAATTACGGGTATTTTAGTCATTTTCTTATCCGAAAGGAATTTGGGAATTCCGGTTGTACCGTTGCGTAGAGCACGGTGAGATGAGTCCGTAGACACGTAGTGGGCTCGAATCGGAGTTGTAACGAGAGAGATATGATCAAATGAAGCTCAGTGGCATAATCGTAAATATTTGGAAAATGGATTTTTGGTTAAAAGGACGGAATTGCCCCCGTCTCTCTCTCTCTCTCTCTCTCTCCCGCGCGTCTCTCCCTCTCTCCTCTGGGCCCCGCGACACCCCCCACGCCGGCACCCTTGTGCCCCGGCCGTTCGTTCGTCCGGCCACCAAACTTGACGGGGCCGGTACCAAAATGACCGGGCCGCCGTCCTCCTCCTACCCCAGCCGGGTCTCGCCGCCAGCCGCCGGGATTTCGCCGAAAAATCGAAGAAAACAGCCCGGTTTCGCCCGAAACTTTGCCGGCTTCGTTCTCCGTCGTCCGGCCACCGATTCCGGCAAGTGAGGTATGGTTTCTCACCTATTTTCCGAGCTCTAGCTGATGGTTGGGTAGGATTTCATAAATTTTGAGGCTAAGTAGCTCGATCTACGAATTGAAATTCGGCCGATTTTGCGATCGCGATTCCGGCCACCTCCGGTCAATTTTTGGGGTATGCCCAAGAACAAAAGTGACTCCAAATTAGGTGTATTACCTAGGGTAGGAGTCTTGGCTCACGATTTGGAAGTTTTCCGGTGATGCGATATCGCTTTAGCGCGCTGCCGGCGCGTGTGGCGGCGCGTGGGCACTGTAGTTGAGGGGCATTTTTGTCCCATTGTGATCCTCTCGATGTCACGAGCGCATAGGTGTGCTCGGATGTCATTTTGGATACCGTTAGAGTTTCGAACGGATATCGGATATCGCGTATTTTCTGGGTTCGCTAGGTTTGGACCGTTGGATGGTCCTGAAGTTATAATAGGTTGATCTAGGTTTTACCAGGATCATGTAGGATTCGACGGATCGTAAAATGGAGTCCCGGATACTCTAGAAATGCCAACCCTAGGGTTAGGGTTTTAGTAACCGTCCGATCGTGAGCGATCCGACCGTCCAATCTGGACCAAACTTGCAGGACGTGTGTCTTAGACCTTGTAGAACCTATAGGAACTGTCAGATCGAAATTTGGAAGTTGTGGGCCCCGCAGGCCCTTTTGACCTTAGGTTGACCGTGAGACTTCCGAGATAGTCTTACCTTTCTTTGAGGGTTAGAATGACCTTAGTGATAGGTCTTGAGCGTTGTCGAGCTAAATGAATATTGTGGGTTTAGGATATAATTGATAAATTTAAATGGGGGAGTTTATGGAATGCTTTATTGGTTGAGGTTTATATAAGATTAGAAATTAGAATTATATATTTAAATTGTGTGGATTTATAAAAGTAAATAAAACGATTGAATGTTAGCTTACAGTGCTATACGCACTACCC